GTAGCCATGACATGAGTTTATAGTCAGATATAACCAAGAAACCAACTGAAACTTATGACTATGCATGATGAATAATTAGTGTTCAAGTATCACTTCAAATATTCAGATAAGTAATATGAGGGCAAGATTATTTATAATTTCGGGATATATTGTTTTTATTTGGAGACAATTTATGGAAATAAAGACATAGTTTTATAGGTCCAACCCTGCCAGTTGATAGCTATTTTTGGAATGACTATTATTCAGAAACTTTTACCCTTGGTGTACTGGTCTGGAAGATAAACTGTCCTTTCACTTGATAGAGGGATTCCATATTCAATTTTTAAATATTGTAGTGCTTAAGCTAATATTAAATTCGTTAAAAAACTAAGGAACTATGTGAGGATCATTTATTAAGTTGATGTAATAACTCATGCTTTCTTTATAACCAGAATATAAGTAGTTGGATGTTTCATGGTTGGGGAAAAAAAAATCTGTCAAACGGAAAACGAAAGAGGACATTTTAATGAAATTGAACCACATGAAAATTTGAGTCATTTTCCAAGAAATTGTTTTGACCTAACTGTATGCAGCTAAAAAGAGGAAGCCACGTTTTACCCTTTGGGTCAAATTCCCTAGTGCTATCAAATGCCCCTTTATAAACATGAATCCTCATGTGGTAGACAGATGGCCTTTCACCATTGTGTCCCGTTAGTAGTCATCAGTGGATTAGGTCACTCTGGCAGCATATCTAATTTTTAACACAACTTCTTGACGAATTCAAGTCAACAAAAGGGTAAAGGAAATAAAGAATTGAAAATCAGTGGAAAAGGGAAATTGGCCACAAGATTGGTGCTGGAAAGAGGAAACAATGAACTTTCTGGGCATAATGGTTGGATAAAGAAGTACAGATCAGATGGCAAGATGTTTGTTATTCAGGCAATCCCAGCACCATTTATTGATTGGGCAAGGGAATGTTGCATCTGACCTCCATTGTTTCAACCATGTAGCATCATGTGGTAACAAGACATACCCCAGAGGGGGAGTGTATGGTTTGTGTTCTGGTATAGTAGGTCTTTTACCTGCAGTCACTAGAGCAATGGTTCTCAACCTTCCTAAGGCCACGACCCTTTAATGCAGTTCCTCATGTTGTGGT